GCCCCCCAATCCGGGATTTTTTGGGATTTCTGGCTGTGTCCCATGGCCATTCCTGCATTTTTCCATAGGTTTTTCGTGGTGGAGGATCACATCCTGCACACCACGCAGGGTTTGGTCACCCGAGCCTACCTGGACGAGCTGTGGGAGATGGCGCTGTCCAAAACCATCGCGGCGCTCCGCACTCATTCCGTGAGTAAAAATATGGCTATTTTATTTTATTTTATTTTATTTTATTTGTTTAATTTTATTTTGTTTAATTTTATTTTAATTTTATTTCATTTTTTTTTATTTTGTTTTGTTTTACTTTATTTTGGGTTTTTTGTTTGATTTTATTTTATTTTGTTTTTTTAATTTCATTTTATTTTTATTTTGTTTTGTTTTATTTTGTTTTGTTTATTTTATTTTATTTGGGGTTTTTTATTTTATTTTATTTTGGGTTTTTTGTTTGATTTTATTTTATTTTATTTTATTTCATCTTTTTGGGTCAGTATTCTCCGTTTGCCCTCTTTTCCATTGGCTGTTTCAAAGAGCAGCACAAAGACTCACAGATACAAGAGCATCTTAAAAATCCTACAGAGACCCTACAGAGCATCTGAGAGACCCTACAGAGTCTAAGAGACCCTATAGAGCGTCCAGAGAACCTACAGAGAGTCTGAGAGACCCTGAGAGTGTCTGAGAGATCCTACAGAGCACCTCAGAGACTCTGCAGAGCATCTCAGACCCTACAGAGTCTCTCAGACTCTCTGTAGGGTCTCTCAGACACTCTGTAGGGTTTCTGAGATGCTCTTTAGGATCTCCGTAGGGTCTCCTAGATTCTCTCTAGGGTCTCTCAGACGCTCTGTAGGGTCTCTCACACTCTATAGGGTCTCTCAGATGCTCTGTAGGGTCTCTCAGACACTCTCAAAATCTCTGTAGGGTCTCACACTCTCTGTGGGGTCTCTCAGACGCTCTATAGGATCTCTCAGATGCTGCAGGGTCTCTCAGATGCTTTGTAGGGTCTCTGAGATGCTCTGTAGGGTCTCTGTAGGGTCTCTCAGACACTCTCAGGGTCTCTGTAGGGTCTCTCACACTCTCTGTAGGGTCTCTGGATGCTCTATAGGGTCTCTCAGATGCTCTGTAGGGTCTCTGTAGGGTCTCTCAGACTCTATAGGGTCTCTGGGGCTGCCCAAAGCCCTCTCCAACCCAAAGAGGATCAGAGCCACCTTCTTCAGCTGGCTTTGCCTACTCCAGAGTACCCCCTCAGGGCTTGGGGCGGGTTTGGGGTCATTCCATGGGGTCACAGCCYCCTTTTCTCCCTGCAGTCCTACTGCTCTGACCCCGGTCTGGTGCTGGACCTGAAGAACCTCATCGTGCTCTTCGCCGACACGCTCCAGGTACGTGGGGTGGGGTGGGATGGCCCCGATCCCGCTGATCCCGGTGATCCCAACGGGAATTCTGGGCCTGAGCGGGGCTGGTCCCGCTCCTTTTGGGGTGTTTTGGGGTGTGGATCACACGTGGGGTGGGATAGCCCTGATCCCGGTGATCCCAACGGGAATTCTGGGCCTGAACAGGGCTGGTCCTGTTCCTTTTGGGGTGTGGATCACACATGGGGCAGGACGGCCCCGATCCCACTGATCCCGGTGATCCCAACGGGAATTCTGGGCCTGAACAGGGCTGGTCCCGCTCCTTTTGGGGCATTTTGGGGTGTGGATCAAACGTGGGGCGGGATGGGACAGCCCCGATCCTGGTGATCCCGGTGATCCCAATTGGAATTCTGGGCCTGAGCGGGGCTGTCCCTCTCCTTTTGGGGTGTGGATCACACGTGGGGCGGGACGGCCCCGATCCCACTGATCCCGGTGATCCCAACGGGAATTCTGGGCCTGAGCGGGGCTGGTCCCGCTCCTTTTGGGATGTTTTGGGGTGTGGATCAGCCCAGGGACAGCTTGGGGTGGGTTGGGCAAGGGTCACCAGTGAACGTGGTCGGGATTGCTCAAAAAACACCAAAAAGGGATGAGCTCAGCCCAAAAATCACCAAAAAGGGGATGAATTCAGCCTAAAAATCACCAA